CACTGGTCTTAAACACTGCTTCTACAGGAGTTTTGCATTTTGCCTGTAGAAGCAGCTCAATGCCATTCAATGTATCCATGCACTTTAAGATGTTTAGAGGAAGATTTTAAGCTCAGTGTTTAGAGGCAGAAAAAAAACTCCTTCTGGAGTGCATTTTTTGAGAGGGGTTTTCTGGCAGAAGAAAATGCTAAATGCTTCTAAACGTTCCTAATCACGTGTACAAAAAAAGTGCCAAGGGAACTGGTGTTTTTTTTTGTCCAGTGTGTATGGACCCTTAGAGTATACATACACTTTAGGCAGACCTATGGGTAAAAAAGAAGTACAAAGCTAATGATAGCAGCAGGTAGCTGTCTAAAGGGGATACCTATAAAATTCGGGGAAGCTGAAGGATGTCCTGGGGTGAGATTTTTTTTTGTTAATATCATATATAGATATGGACATCTGATTTTTCTCAGCTACCTTCCTTCTGTTGTTTATATATGCTTTGCAATGATTTTCTACCCACGGGATTCACCTTTTCCCGAATAGATGAGGCAGAAGTGGGATTGGGAACAACACCCCAATGACAATGACAGAGATTGCCTCTTTGCACCTTTATGTACACTTTTGCAACTGCTTTCTAGAAATCCATAACAAACTCTAAAGAAGATATCTGCAGTATATACAAGGGTTCTTCAAAAGGTTTCTGAACTTTTTTTTATCTCTAATATATCCATATATTATATAATACATACATATATATATATTATTTTTTTTATAAAAGTGCGGAAACTTTTTTGAAGACCCCTCGTACTAGTTGATATGAAATTGTTTCAAAGGGATTGTGTGGTTATGCCATTATATTCTGCAATATAATGGCATAATATTCTCCTTCCGTTCCTGGAGGATGTGGGATGATGAAACGCGTAGGGCGGGGCCTTGGAGGTGACGTCACCACGTATGGGTGAGCTGCCAGTGGTTGTTTCAGACCTGAGTTTACCTGCTGTTTTATGTATATGCGGTTTATGCGAGTGTCCGCTATGACACTTTACATTGTGAGTCTGACTTATATTTTTTAATGAAATAAAGTATCCTTATGGTTTTACACTATTAAGCTTCCTTTCCTCTTTTGGTTCCATATGAGTATATAAAAATCCGATTATGGAGTTGTAACAGTCAGCTGGTGTCTCTGCAGATCGTTACTCCCAGAGCCACTGCGTTTTTAGCTGGTTTATAGTGTTACCAGCTTGGAGCGCTGGTGAGTTTATTCATTTTGTCTGGTGATAGATCTCACGTGGCGTTGGTGTTGTATAACACAGAAGGCTTAATGAGAAAATTGTAAAAGGACATTTTTATTTATTTATGGACGTTTTGGACACTGGGTTTATTAAATAATTTTTTATTTTAAATAAAGTTTTTTTTATATAGTCACTTATTTACACTAGAATTATATATGTATGAATTACTGTATATGAGTTTGACTAATTATAAGATTGTTGTGATGGTGGATGGAGAAATCTAACATCATAATAATATTTAGGTTTGCACAGAGTAGAGATTTACAGTTTTTCCAATTATTGATGGTCAATACACGTATTTTGTACAGCAGAGTATTTTTGCACCAATAATGATGTAGATACAATTTTGATCATATAGAGGGTTTTGCACATATATGAGATAGTTTGATGAGGAGCGCTGTTCCAATTAATTATATCACCTCGGTTTTCAAGGATTAGATAGCTGCACTTTTTTCATCCCCTCTTCTGCATATATACACAGCCAGTGGCACCGTCCATCATTTATATACAAAAAAAAATCTGCAATATATTTAGGATCTGGTGTTGCCGTGAAAATTATTATATTCAGAGCATATTGTCCCATTTATTTCTGATTGATGCAATGTGGTGGTCCTTGGGAAAAACACCTGTAAAGTCCCTATATATATACAATTACACAAATATTCAGCACACCTTCCAGGTATTAGTGGTCTTGATGTATGGTTTGTTTGCTCTGAACGTCTGTTGCTGATCTCTCCGAGAACCTTAGACCTCTAGGAAGTACATGTGCTGACGCCCCCCCTCCCCTCCTCGCATTATAAAGGGTCAAAGGTAGAAAGCAAGGGAAAGATTGTGTAGCAGCTGCCTGTAGTTCTAAAAACTATGACACTGTCCAAAGGACCTTCAGCAGCAGGCATACCTGCAGGGATACAGGCAATGTGCTCTTCTATGGTAAGACTATATTGAATGATTCAAAATTTTAACCATATAAATACGTAGGAATTTGTGTGCATAAGCTTGATATGTGCTTTCATATATAGGCTAAATTGTCATTTTGCACACAATATTAAGCAGCTGAGCTAGCAGTCATTTTCTCTCTATGGGTTTCCAAAGTTATCTCACAAAATGGTTTACAAATTTACTAAATTAGTAATTGTAAATATCTTAAAGAGAAAGTGTCACAATGAACCATTGTACAGATTGGCCTGGGATAACACCAGGGGTATTTATGAAAATATCACAATTTATTGCCCCTATACCCATTTATTCTTGTTTGTAATATATGTTGTAGTCACATGGAGGAAAACATAGGGTCATCTAACAAAGTAATATGCACATTATAAGTCTACTTGTGAAATGTGATCTTGTGGATTTGTATCAGTCTTTTTCTAATTGTATTTTATGTCTGGAGCTCAGAAGTGCGGTAATAATTAGTAATTGTGATATAGCAGAACATTCACCATGGAATATGTGTCTGGATTAGTGCAAATAAAAAAACCGTGATTTGGTGCACTGGGTGCCAGAGCAGCCCGCATGACCACTTCCATAGGAAATGTGTTCAGGGTTATCTCTGATCCGAGTGCCAGGTATGAAAAAATGCAGCCTGCAGTATCTGAGTGGAGAGCACAAAACACATGTTGCTCACTTGCTCATTCCTAGTTTAGAGTGGTAGTAAACTCTCTGTATTTATTTTTACCTACAGGTTAGCCTATATTAAAGCTTACTTGTAGGTAAAATGAATACCTCCTAAAGAGCTCTGTGCCGCGGCTGGGACTCCATGCACTGAAGTGATGTCATCGTGGCTTGGCCAGTCAAGCAGCGTCAGCCGGGGAACCTGAAAGAAAGACCTGGTGAAGATGGAAGCCTCTGCAGCAGTGACAGTGCATCACTGTAGGGCTTCGTTTGAAAGTAAGCCTTACATAATGTTCTAATATGCGATGCATACTAGCACATTTTCCTTTTACCTTGCAGAGAAAGTTTTTTTGGTTTTTTTTTTTTTTGCTTCACGTTTACTGTCACTAATGTGTTAAACAGAAATAGATCACAATATACAGATAATTACTATCTTTATAGTGGAAGGCCTGTGTGGGCCACAACGAAAAGCACATTCATTTGAGTATTACTAACATATGGGATACTAAATAGAGAAAGTGAATGTTTGAACAAACAGAAAACTGAGCAAAGATAGCATAAACAAAGTGTGACTAACCTGTATCAAGAGGAGAGCACAAAACACACGTTGCTCACTTGCTCATTCTGAGATGTGGTCTTGTTAGTATTAGTCTCCTGATGTCACAATACAAATTATTAGAGCTCCCTCTAGTGGGAGCAGCGTAGTAATAGCATTACTGGGAGGTTTATTCATTTACTTGCTACAACAGGAATGAGGTCTCTTTGTATATCATAGATATGTAAGCTATGTGTGATTGCTAGTAGTAATCAGGCAGAAGAATATAAGAACCAGCAACACTGATCAACTAAAGAGCATGTCATGAGTAACAGAGACTTTCTAGACTGTAAGATAATTTAGGACTCATTAAGAATCAATCTTTTTTTCCTGCAGAAAAAGGAGCCATCTTTGCATAGCAAAAGTTAATCAGCTGACCTGGAAACAAAACTTTCAGCAAATCAATCCTTATATATATGGTCATGAGGATGAACAGATCCATCATCCCTCAGGAATATATGATAGGAAATCTATCCACCTGTTAGCTTTTGCTGGCATTTTTCTCTTTCTCATACCTAGTCTAAGGTTTTACAAGATTTTCATTGGTTTCAGGTGGCCTCTGCTGTAAAATGTAATAGCGGCTTTTACTTTTTTCTTGCTTTTTTAGCTTGCTTTTTTATATATTGTACTTATTGGCTTTTATATTTATTAAGTACACTTATTTGTTATTGTGCTTAATTAAGACATCTGTCATCAGATTTTGCCAAGTTTGGCTATATCGTATGACGGTCTTACACCTAAGGGCACATTGGACATCCTTGAGTAATCACCCTTGGGACATTTTTTTCCCCCATTAGATAAGAACCTTCCTCCTCTTTCTATTTTCCTTTCTCTCCCACGCAGGTCACTATTACTAATCATGCATGCTCCTGTGGTGTCACAGCTACCCCCTTTACTGTTCCTCTGTCTGATTCAATGGATTATGCCAGCATTTCTTCTCATTTTTTTTTTCTGAACTATCACCAATAGGTCATTTAGGGTGTCCAAATAGGTGCAGAAATTGGTTAATAAGTAACTCTCTAAAGGAAGCAATCTATTTTACTTCAGAGAGTGCATTAAGAGAGCTGAAAAACATGCAGTGCTAGGCCTGTGAAGGTTCTCATTAATCCAGGTCAAGGTATAACTACTAGTAGTTGTTAGGTACCTTCAGAAGGGCTTGTTCTGTAATGTTGAAGATATTTTGCTGCTTATCCAAATGAAAAAGCTGTTTGGATAAGCAGAAAAATGCCTTCAACATTACAGAACAAGTCCAGTTGAATGTGATTACTACTAGCTATGCAGTGTTAGGGCTACTTTAATATTTAGAATTGTGGAGTTTAATGAGAATACATCTAATTCTTATGTTACTTTTGCAGATGGTAAATAAAATCTTCCATAAAAAAGTGAGCTCTGTTCAACGTTCCGCATGTCGCTGGAAATCTGTTTGTATTTGGATATAATCTTATGTGTACAAAGCCCCAGTACAAAAAATTTTACCTGCCTCAGGTAGCACCTGTAGATTGGAGAATAGACTGAGGATGGCAGCCATGATGAAGAAGAAGAGCTTGCACACAACACCACCTGATGGTGGTTGGGGGTGGATGATTGTGATTGGCTGCTTTCTTGTCACAGTTTGCACAAGGGCTGTTACAAGGTATGTAGGTTTCTCTTTCTTAAAAGAAGCATCCCAACCCCTATAACTCATATTCAGATGGATTTGATTACCAATTCACTGCCTGTTACTTATATTTTTAGGTGTATCTCAATATTCTTTGTTGAATTCCAATTATATTTTGGTCAAGATTATTCAAGAACGGCTTGGATACATTCCATTGTTGATTGTGCCACTATGTTATGTGGTAAGTAACCTAAGGCAAATACCTTGTTATCTTTTATTAGAATAATACGTATTTGAATATTTAACTCACAGATTTTTGTACAGTAAGCTAGCTCAAGGATCTGATTTTATAATACTGTGCTGTATGTGTGCATCCAGTACTGAAGATATCCAACTGTTGTTCTCATTCTATAATTATATTGCTCGAAAAGAAAGCTTTATGAACATTTGAACAGATAATTCCCAACTGCTCTTGGTCACCTCTAATGTACTGTAAATGTATCTTACAAACCATATAATGGTCTATTCTGCATTTTGCAGCCCCTCTCGGAAGTTATGTGAGCAACCATGTCTCTTGTCAAGTGGGAATCATACTCGGTGGAATTCTTGCATCCACAGGACTTGTCCTGAGTTCCTTTGCTACAAGCCTAGAGTATCTCTACCTCACACTAGGAGTCCTTACAGGTAATCCTCATTATAGTTAATTATTTGTATCTGGTTCAAAATAAAAGATACTTTAAATAATATAAACTGGAAAAGACTTTAAAATGTTTGCAAGTTGCAAAAAACCCATCCTCACGTTCTGGCCAGTGGAACACTGTACAGACTGAAAAGGCCAGCACCCAAAGGCCAGGAGTCATTGACAGGGTCATCTCTTCACACAGGCTCTTGCAGTTCTTCCCTAGCAGGGGGAATTGTATGCAGATAGAGTAGGTGATCAGTGCAATGGGTGGTGTAAATAACTATAACCAATCTTTTGTGGTAGCAGCAGCTGAAAGTCGACATCTCCTGCTCCAGCTGCTGCAGGGTGAACCACAAAATATCGGTTCCAGTTATTTCCCGACTGCACCACTGATAAATATTGGACTTCTCTTTCTTTCTGGACCCCCTTGTATGCCCTCCTTATCTCTGCAGAGCTTCCAGCTTTCCTCCTCTCCTCTTCTGCTGGCAGCAGCTGCAAGCAAACAGGGAGATGTTTAGGGTGGATGGCGAGGAAGATGCTGGTAAATATGTCATTTACCAACCCCTTCCTTTTTTAACTAAACACAGTGAGTGATCAGTACCGATCACTTACCGTATTCATAACTGAAGAAATGTGTTTACTATGCTTCAGTTCATGAATGAACGGGAGCCTCTGTCTCCTGTTCATTCATCTCAGTGCAGCTGAGGCTACAGAGAAAGGGACTGGAGAATGTTTCCTCTGTCCCTTTCTCTGTCTCAAAGGTAAGACTTCAGAAGTCTGTTTAGGCTCCTGATATATCACCAAAGACCTCCCAAAAGTGTTATAAAAAATGCAAAAAATTATTACATAAAAATTAATGAAAAATTAAAATAAAATATACAAATTGTTAAGTTTTAACATTTTTTTAAAAATCAGACTAAAATATGTGGCGTAATTTACCCACACTCACTGTTTGCCACGGTGCACTATGCTCTGAAGGTTACCATCTCCCTTGTAGGGGCCCCAGTACATTACTTTGCCCAGGGGCCCATGATGCTGTTAAGGTGGCACTAGTCATTGGGCCTCCAGTTCGCTCTGCCACTGGTGTCTTACCCCTCAAATCATAAGCTCTGTTACTAGGTGTGCATCTAGACAGTCCTCGAGCAGAAGGATTCAGTTGAGAGGATCAGTATTCTGTTCTATAATATCTTTACTGGCTTAAAGCATCATCTTTGGTTTTTACCCTGTTCTAGTGTTTATCTCTCTGCCTTGTGCCTCAGTATACTGTAGTCTAAATGCTACTTGCCCTCTTATAGCTCTGTACTATGCTTTGGTTCCTGTCAATAGTGGAGAAAATTTAATGTGATTTACAGTGAAAAACAGACTTTAGGGAGGCCTAGGCTAAGTAAATATATTAATTATTAAAACACAAATACTCTGGGGAGGTCAGTTAACTTGGTGTCATTCAGCCACCCATAGTCCTCAAATTATGCTAGTGACCCCTCTCGAGAAGCTGTACATGCTCTGTGGATATACAGATACACACTGGCATCAAAGTTGATTGAATGAAAACAAGAGATCATGAAAATGCAACCAATGGAATGATGAGCATAATTCATAAGTAACGGCATATAATAAATAAGTGTTATGGCGACTGCAAATTATTATAGTGATTACTTGATATTATAGTGAAAGCAACGCACACAGTATTAGAAAATGTGGTCATTTGAGTCCATGTGCCAACGACACATTGGCCATTTCACTAGTTAAATGGAGACAGGAATACTAACAACCATTATTAGCTTAGAGTAGCCGTGGTATTAAAAGCTTAGCATGCAGTCTCCTAGAGGATAGTATTAATAATCTGGCATTACTATTGTTTTTGCATGGAAATCTGCCAGGCATTTGCAAAGGAAGAATGTGCATCACAAAGGCACCTGCATCAACACACCAGTGGCTGTTTGCTTTGAATGTTTTTATTACTTGTGAAACATTTTAATATGATGACCAGCACTTTAAAAATTGTCTAATATATTACATAATGAGCGCTGTTGGCAATGTGGTCTGAATGTACTGTACATCAGTCCCATTAAAAGACTGCAGGGAATGAATAACTAGGGATGAAAAAGGGCTGAGAGGTTACTGATGCATTCAACAACAACATTTACAGATTTACGCAATTTTAAAATAGCAAATTGCAGTTTAGAATTGTTAATGTTTATGACACTTTTGGACCGGGGGCTAAGCAACAAGTTAAATTAAAGCAAACATGTTTTTGCCTCATTTCACAGCTGCACATACTTATTTTTCCTTTGTTTCCCTGCTGTGAATAGAGCCATAATCTAAGGGGCTCATTTATAACATGTAGCAGATATTGCTAAACAAGGTAACTCAGTTCTGAGGCATGTAAGGAGTTTTAATGGAAAGTAGAAAGCCAGCAACTTGTGGATCCAAACATGGCAACATTAATTATGCAGGCAGAGTACAAAATATACAAAGGTTTACGCATTTCGGCCTGTGGCCTTAATCATAGCCATGGCTATGATTAAGGCCACAGGCTGAAACCCGTAAGCCTTTGTATATTTTGTAATTTACCTGCATTAATAATGTCAGCATATTTGGATGTATGAGTTGCCGGCTTTCTACTTTCCATTCATGATGAGTTTGGGTGTAAGGAATACATCTGCAAGCCAGTGCACCACTTATTCATCTCCTCAAGGAATTTGTCCGGGTGCAACTTCTTTATGTAGGGAGTTTTACATAAGGGGATGATGGAGGATGGATTAATGCTGGGGTAAGTATGCAGCTTAGTTGTTAGGGGGTTGCTTGGTTAGAGTAGGGGTTCTAGCTTAGAGAACAAGGGAGTGTGGACTTTTATAGCTTTCACTAAAAGTGAAATATCTCCTTTACACAAATCAATAATGGCAGCATCAATATTTCTATCCTCATGCGTGTTAGGAACTGTTCACACCAACCCATTTACGTTATCCTCTGTATCACTAACGCTAACTGATGTGTGTTGCGTATGGGACTGTGCAATGCATTGGTGAAACACATCATACTGTTTACTTTGTTCTTTTTTTTTTTAACTTTATTGAAATGTTGCATAAATGGTGTTTCATTTAAGTCTATGAGCAAAAGTGCATTATGACCTCCTGTGTTTACACATGGTGTAGCACACTGCACTGAGAAAAACTGTAGGGATGCTACATGTATGGGGTAAACAAAGAACAATTGTTTCCTTTGTGCCCTTTGCATTGAGCCTGCTTTGATTAATGCTAACACAATTCACCACACCTGGTGAACAACCCCTTAAATATTCTGAGATGTATTACTGCGTTTGCTTCCCAAAATAATTTTTTTGTGGTTTTTTTTTTAGGCTTGGGATTTGCACTTTGCTATAGCCCTGCAATTGCCATGGTGGGAAAGTACTTTGACAAGAGAAAAGCCTTGGCTTATGGAATCGCTATGTCAGGCAGTGGCATCGGCACCTTTATCTTAGCTCCGGTGGTTCAGATGCTAATTGAACAATTTTCCTGGAGAGGGGCTCTGCTCATCCTCGGTGGTTTTGTGGCCAATCTCTGTGTCTGTGGTGCTTTAATGAGACCGATAAACCTAAGGGAGGACTTTGCACACTCTTCGCTAAAGCAGGAGCACAGTCCAAATGAATCAAATAGCAGTACAAACCCGTCCACCAAATGCTCACCTCTGAGCCAGGACTGCAGTCACAAGAGCCTCTGTTACTGCTCCCAGAAGGAGTACAGCTTCCTCCTAAAGCCTAACTTCATTGTACTGGCTGTGTCCTTCCTCTTCCTAGCCTATGGATGTAGCCCTCCATTTGTCTACCTTGTGCCTTATGCGCTAAGTGTTGGAGTTAGCAACCAACAAGCGGCCTTTCTAATGTCAATACTTGGCGTCATAGACATTGTTGGGAATATCACTTTTGGATGGCTGACAGACAGAAGGTAAATTGAATTAATTCCTAACTATACAATGCAACAATGAACACACTTGGGTTATTTTTATTGATTGAAGTTTTGGTTTATTATGATATGATGTGGGATGTTTCCAAGATAACACCAGATTCTGTGGAGTCAGGCTTTGAGTGCAATGAGATGGTATAAACACGTGGGTGGCTATAATGGCTCATTGTTTACAAACCGGTAGTCCATAGATGCAATAAGGCTATATGCACAACGCATTAACACAGGATAAGCAATTATTATTATTATTATAATACAGGATTTATATATCACCAACAGTTTACAGTTTACTACATAAGGGCAGAAAGTGCAACTACAATGCAATTTAATACAGGAGGAATCAGAATGCCCTGCTCATTAGAGCTTACAATCTAAGAGGGAAGGTCAAGAGATACAAAAGGTAATAACTGTGGGGGATGAGCTGATGGAGAAAATAAATAGGAGATTGTTGGACAGATTGGGGTAGGGAGTTCCAGAGGATGGGAGAGGGTCAGGAGAAGTCCTGAGGGAGAGCTTGGGAGGAGGTGACAAGGGAGCTAGAGACAGAGGCGGCTGTAGGATTTGTAAGGCCTTATGCAAAACTTACACTTGAGACCCCACTTGCGCCCATAATGGGAAAAATAAAATTCAAGTGATAAATATTAACTGAGATAGCAGCGGAGAAGCCGATCAACAGGCAGTGCCAGCGCAGGATGCGGAGCACCCTGCCCACCATGGCTGAGGATCAGCACTGGACTAAGCCAGGACCTCCAGACCTGGGTGGGCCAGATGGAGGAAGGGATCAAGGGGACAGGGGCTGTCAATCACAGATGAGTACACTGGGACACTGGCAGAGGACTGAGCTGTCCTGACTGTTTTGGACCATTGCACACAGTCAGTGATAAATCTAGGTCGGTATTTCTATTGATAATTCGGCCTCTTTATACCATTATCCAGTATATAGAGACATGCAATGGTGCAGAGCCAGCATGGAATGGTCCCAGTGGTTGCAGACAATAATGGCAGTTTGAGAGGGGAGGGAGGATGATGCAACCAAAGGAACGAGACACCAGAGGGGGCAGGACTCTGTATTGCACAAGGCAAGAGGCGGCCCCATAGTCTGAGGGGGAGAATGAGAGATGGGTACTTGGAGGATTGTTGTGCTCAGTCTTTGGGCTCCACTCATGCAGATGCAGGCAGGCTCCTGTACACGGGTCATTTCCGACTGATCGGGGCCCCAGGGACACATGGATGCTGCTCCGGGCCTGCTGATCCCTCCTTCTCCTCCCTTCTTACCAGCAATGTTTGTCCCCGACGATGGGCTCCTACCTTCCCCAGGATCCCCACAACCGCTGGCTCCGCTTGGCATAGATCCCGAGTACATTGGGCCATCAGCTCTTTAATTAGGCAAATTAGGCAGCCGCAACACCCCTTGAGCGTGAGACCTTAGGCGACCGCCTAATTTGCCCAGTTAAAGAGCTACCTCTGCTAGAGAGCAGGAGGTCTTGGGAGAAACGAAGAGAACGATTAGGTTGCTAATTTTCAGATTTATTGAACTCTGCTGATAATAGCTGTTACTCTTTTTCTTTAATAAAGATCCTTGTCTTGGTATGCTTCGTAAATTGAACCTACAGTATTTTAGTTGAACACACAAGGGCTGTATCTGTGAGTTAGCGTTTCAGGATATCCAGGACATTGAGTTCAGAAAAAGGTCCGAATTTCTGGCCCTTAAAGAGAATTTACAGTCTTTTTAGAGTTTTTGTGTTTTAGATATATATCTAAAACCTATCTAAAGTCTATCTAATTTTGTTTTGTTAGTTTTGGATAGAGTAGTCAGGGGATAGAACCTTTGTCAGGATTTTATTGCTATCTAGGTCTATGCTGGGGAGCTTCACACTGGATGCTTACCCTGGTAACCACTGTCTCTGTGACACAAGCGGGGCCATACACCTAAAGACTTCTCTCATTCATCCCTATCATATCACTGAATTCTCCCATCCACTACATAGCGTCGATGGAGAAATACCCAGTGTTGGCTATTGTATTCTGACAGCCGACACCATGGCTATCGAAATACCAGAACAATAACTGCAGCTGACTTTTGAAATATTCAATAGTTTCCCTCTTTTTTTGATTAAACCTTTCACACTTTAATATGTTGTGAAAAACAGCAAGCGCTCAGGATTCCAATAGGGTCAGCAGCATGTGCACTAAAAAGGAACCCAAAGACCTTAAATAACACATATAAACAATAAGTGCAGTGCTAAAACAAAAATTAATAAAAAATGATGATAATTGTGGTTCAAATAAATAAACACAAGATAAATAGAAAGTGCTTCGTTATAATAAGTGCAAATAATTGTGTGCAACTGTGAAAGTCAATAAACAGAAAAATGTTCATATAATGGTGAAAGTCTGACACCGGTCAGAAAATTGTGTCACATAGAGATCCTGTTGCACAGGTGATATAAAAAGGATTTCGTGTGATTTTACTCCATTAAATTCGTGCAAGGGATATGATACACAATGCACACTCACCAGATGCACATAATAAAAGCGCACAATATGTTGAATCATATGGTGATTGTAAGGTCTGCCATAAGCCCCATTATTGTGGGCCAAGCAAGCAGAATAGGAAGTGAGACTCCCTCCTCTGGATCTGGAACTGCTCTGCAGCTGTTCTCCGGATAGAGTCCTGGAAATTGTTTAGCTCGATATAGAGCCAAGAAAGAAGGTACCCATACTGTAGTAATTAAATCAATTTATTATGGTATAAAACACAATATCATCCACGTGGAGAAACACCAAAAAGCAGAGTTTTAAAAAACCATGAGACTGACCAGCCACTCTCTAAGATGGTCGCCGGACCTTCGTGACTTTCGTGATGCGTCACAGCGGCGGCGTTAAGTGACATCACGGATAATGTATGTTGATCAAATCTTCCAATTCACCTAAGTGTGATGTGTATAATAGCATGATAATGTATGCAAGGTTTGTTCGGTGGAAAACCCCATGTCAGCATGGTCAGTAGTATAATGAGTTGAAGGCAAGTATGATTTAAAAAAAAAAAAAAATCCAACACTAAAATTGAGTTACCCAGGTTTGACTTGACAGAAATACTTACAGCTGAATTCTAGGTATGAATTTTATTGCATAGTTACATTGGTCCAGCTTAGCCCAATGCAGGGGCGGACTGACAACTCATGGGGCCCCCGGGCAATAGGGGATCATGGGGGCCCCTTGCCCAAACTCAAAAAAGCATATGAAAAAGGTACCAGGGGCATCTATGGGGCCCCTTACTGTCCCCGAGCCCTTGGGCAGTGCCCGAGTTTCCAAATGGTCAGTCCGCCCCTGGCCCAATGTAAGTGTGCATATGTCATACCTGAGGGATAGCTGTGGAAGCAGAGAATTACTGTAGTAGTTGCTGCTACACCGTCTTCCAGGTCCTCTGCTGAGCGGCTGCCCTTCAGCATAGTAACCACAGTGGATTGCTTTTTTTCTCAGCTAATGCAATCTGATTGGATGACGAGGTGGAGATTGTGATGTCACTGCCCCCTGCCTGTCAAATCAAAGGACACCTTTGCAGTATTTAGAAAAATGCAATATGTTTTGGGAACGGCACCCATGCTGAGCATACAACCTGGATGATTACAGCGGTCCCACAGTTATAAAATACGCATACATACAGTACATTGCTCCAACCTGCACCTGGAGCTCAGTTAAGAAAAAAAATCACATATTTTAGTGAGCTTAACCAAACAAGTTACACTGAATCTGGAGTAGATGGGTTTGGTTACCAATCAGCTTCTAGCTTTTATTTTAAAAGGTGAAGGCCTCTTTCACATGGGTGTTCCATATGTCCATTTTTCATCTGTCCGTTTACGGATGAAAAACGGACATTCATGTATTTCTATGGACTAGCAGATGTATGATCATCCATTTACATCTGTTAATGTCCGTATCCATTAACATCTGTTTTTTGAATGGAAGAAAACCCTATTTTTCTTTTATAAAAAAAAAAACCAGGAACAGACGAAAAACGGACATAAACGGATGAAAAAACTGATGTAAACTGATGAAGAAATGGATGTAAACTGAAGAAAAACGGATGTCAACTGGTCCGTTTTTTCTTTGAAAAAATGTGACTGAGCTGATGAAAAAAAAAAAGCCCGTGTGAAAGGACCCTAACTGAACAAGCTGAAGCTAGAAGCTGATTGGTTATTATGCACAGCTGCCCCAGATTATCTCTGTTCCCATTTTTTTTTAATTTTCGGTCTTTTTTTGTTAATTTAGCAAAAAATAAAAACCCCAGTGGTGATTAAATACCACCAAAAGAAAGCTCTAGTTTTGTGAACAAAATTATAAAATTTTAGTTTGGGTACAGTGTTGCATGACCACGCAATTGTCATTCTAAGTGTGAGAGACCTGAAACCTGAAAACTGGCCTGGGCAGGAAGGGGGTAAAAGTGTCCAGTGTTGAAGTGGTTAAGTGAATAAATGACAACGAACAAGAGAACATCCCCCTGGTGGGCATATATTAGCAGTTAAAGTAGAGCTCCACCCAAAAGGGGAAGTTCCGCTTTAAGGACTGCTCCCCATTAAGGATTGGCACCTTTGGGAAGCGGGGGGGGGCCCGATAATTGAATTTGACAGGTACCCGTTCCCACTTCCGGCCCAATTGCCACGGCGAAACGGAAAGTGTCTCCCTCCCTGTAGTCTTTTGGGACACGTGACAGGTCCCAGAAGACTACAGGACCATTCACAAAGCGCAGCTCTACTCGCGCATGCGCAGTGGGTACCCAGCTGTGAAGCCGCAAGCTATCACAACCGGGTGCCCACACTGAAGATGCCGGCCTCCTAGAATACAGGACAGCTGGTGAAATGAGCTGCGGGGGGGGCACAACACGGACCAAGGGACAGGTAAGTGGCTGTTTTTTAAAAGTCAGCGGCTACAGTTTTTGTATCTGCTGACTTTTATTTTTTTGATAGGTCGAGTGGAACTCCTTTAACTCGCTTTAACTTTACGAATTAAAGGAGAGGCTCTTTTGGGTGTACCATATCTCCCAACTTTCTGAGATGGGAACGAGGGACACCTATCAGCAAAAGTATGTAAGCATAGGATACACCCCTTGCCACGCCCCCTTAAAGGAGAATTATACAAAAAAATTGTTGGTTAAACCCACAAGTCATTTTTTGACCACTACTATTCCTTTATATTGGCTTTGGAAATTTAGAAATTGGATGAAAGGTTTAGCATAGGGGAACACTTTTCGAAAGATAAAAAGTGCATTTTATATACAACTACTGTATATAGGTCATATTAAAATGAGGGAAAATTATTACGAAAGAGGGACAGAGGGACTTTATTCCAGATGAAGAACAGTCCCTCAAAATCAGGGACAGTTGGGAGCTATGCCTGTACTTTTCCTGGAGATCACAGAAGTGCAGGGGCAGACTGACCATTTGGAAACTCGGGCACTGCCCGAGGGCCCGGGGTCAGTAGGGGGCCCCATGAGATGCCCCTGGTACCTTTTTCATAGGCTTTTTTGAGTTGGGAAGGGCACAGGGGCCCATGATCCCTATTGCCCAGGGGCCTCATGAGTTGTCAGTCCGCCCCTGCAGGAGTGCAATTTGTTTTCAGCTGACAGTGGGATCCACCCAGATGTCTGGACAGGCATCTGGCTCAGCCTCTCAGTGATCCGCTGAGAGCCTGAGCAAGCTGCTCCCCCCCCCTCCTCCACAGCCCAGCGCTCCAGTGAGCACTGGTGGGGAAGAGTAGAAAGCGGGATCTGACCATCACCGCTCTCTGCTCACAGCGACGGTGAGAACGCAGCAATCAGCAGTCATGTGATCTGTGAGTTCTCATCTTTAGAGCTGGCAGGGGACTGATGCAGCATTGGACCGATGCTGCATCCACCTAGATAAGTATAATTTTGGAAAAAAAAACAACAAACCCCATACTTCTTTTTTAATGCCTTCAAAAAATGCTAACTATTGCCATCATTATACCTAATGGATGTAGTTTTAGGACCCTTTAACACTGTGTGCAGTTACCTGCGTTTTTCCGCATGGAAAAACACAAATACCTGCAATGTCACACAGAAAACAATAGTTCATGTTTGTATAACATTGCAGCACTCTGCTCGGTCCCGCATGTCATTTCAGAGGTTCACAGGGACCAAGCAGAGAAGCTCAGCCCACCCATGCTTCTGTGCAGCAGTATGAATGAAATATCACAATGCACACTTCAAAAATAGTTTGTTTTTAAAAAAAAAATGCATCACACTGCCACCTGTCACAGCTCTGAAGCCAAACACCATGCAGCAGTGGTTTGGGCCATAGATCAGTGTGAACGGGTCCTTAGGGAAAACTGATGAGAAGCTAGTGCCCTCATGTGTTGGAGTTTAAGCATTGAACATTCAATGGGTCTGCAGCCATTACAAAAGAAACAAAAACTGAATGTATTGTGAGTTTTACAGGCCCTTCCATTGAAGTCTATGGGACTAACAAGGCCTGAATATGCTACAAAAAAAGCATAGTCCGTAGAACATAGGGTGACTGTATGTACACATATGAGCAGGCACAAGTATGAACAGGCACACTTAAAAAAAATGAGATTCTGCATGTTCACCATATTCAGGCATAGGGAAATAAGTAGAAAAGTGCTTGAGTGTGAATGGAGACTAAAGCTAAACTGCGGGCAGATATAGAAATATCAGTTAATCCACTTGCATATTGATCGAAAATATAATTAAATGTGCTTTTAAACACAAGTATAAGTATCAAATTTAATGTGGTATTAGGTTTTTGCAACACCTTGTAAAGTAGAACACAAATTGCATGGAAGAAGGCCAGAAGTCAACCATGTCTGCTACAGTGCTGACAGGTAACATGCTAACAGGAGAGTGTAGAACGTTTCCTCAAATACAAACATTTCCCCTTGCACTTTGAAAGCATTGCACCTAACATCAACCAGTCACAACATTCTGAAAAATCCTAATATAATTACATGACTTATATATAAAAAAATATTATGATAATATATATGCATAAAGAAATAGCCAGTTGATATCCTAACAATGTGTTTTGTGGAGCATAATAGCACCTATGGGGTTTTTATGTCTTTTTAAGCTATTATTGTGCATGTTATTTTATTATGTGTATTTGTTTTGTAGGGTCCTGAAAAAACACAGATATGCCTGCTACATTATAGCTGTGGCGCTGGATGGCCTTAGCTGTCTCTTTCTGCCAATTCTTAATTGCTTCCAGTCGCTTATACCATTTTCTGTTACATTTGGTTACTTTGATGGCGCATATGTGGCTCTGATTCCTGTGGTGACTGGAGATGTAGTTGGAACAACTCACTTATCGTCTGCTCTTGGAGTGGTATTCTTTCTCCATGCAGTGCCTTATTTAGTGAGCCCTCCTATATCAGGTACGTCTACAATAGTATGTGAAGAGGAACCTCAGCAAGTGTATTAATGCCTTTGTTTAGACCACCAATTTTTGCCAGGGTTCCATAAAACTTTAGGATTTCTCCAGAGATTGCTAGAGGTTCCTTGAGCTGATGGGCTTCCTATTCAAGAGTGCCTTCATGATTCTTGATGCAATGCCACTTGGCAAAGCCAGTACCATGACACCCAAGATGTTTCAAGCTGTCTGTAAGGAGATATTCTGATCACCACTGGAAGGGCCCTGCTTTACGTTGACCCCCAATAAATTCATTTTAGCATGGGTTCCCTGATACCTGAAAATTATTTCAAGGGTTCCTTTGTAGTAAAAGGGATGAGAAGGGTTAGTATAGACCTTTTCAAAATCAGTGTCTTTAGGACTTGATTACGTACTGCAAAAAAAGCTTTTCCTCTCTGCTTCCATCTCTACAATGCAGTCTGCATTAAGGTGAAACGCGTCAGGGTGGTGAAGTGTGTTTTGTCTGGAATTAATAAAAGTTTTAGGAGAGGACTGACTTTTTTGGAACGCATTCATCCAGTTGATCCTTGAAACATAAGATCTCTGTGATCGAGTCCAAGGGCCTCTTACTTGCTTGCATTGGTCGTTACAAGGGGACACCACTCCCCTTCTATGTCTTTTAGTCCTGATTTATTAATTTCAGGAACTTATATAGAGCTGTCAATTTATGCAGCGCTTTACTCATATATATTGTATGTTCGCACCAGTCCTTGCCCTCAAGGAGCTTACAATCTAATGTCCCTAAATCGCATTCATACATGCTAGGGCCAGTTTAGACAGGAGCCAATTAACCTGTCTTTGGAATGTGGGAGAAAACCAGCACAGGGAGAACATGCAAACTCCAGGCAGGCAGTTCCATGGTTGGGATTCAAACCGGTGACTCTAGTGCTGCCAGGCGGAAGTGCTAACCACTTAGCCACTGTGCTTTAATTGATATCATATTATATAGAAGTTAGCAGTAGAATTGGGAAACCGCAGGGTGGCTGGAAATACCCAAAACACCAAAGCGATCAGGGACAGTGAAAGAACTATAGTGGACAGATCTCATCATTGGAATCCCCAAGAGATACAGGTAACCAGCTGGACATTACACACTACAAGCAAAACAAAGACACTGGTCATACAGTGAGAAAATGACAATCAATAAATAACACACATATAACAATGGGTCATTTTGTATACACCGTATGAACATATATCCTACAATAAGAAGCCTATTAAACCACACAGGTTGACCCAATTCAGTTTCCCCTTCTTATTGTATCTAGCTGCACTTTCCACAAACTTGTAAATTCGAGCTGTTATATCTTACAATTAAGGGCGCATTAAGGGGAATTTAATAAAACTAGAGCATCCAGAGTCTGGAGGAGTTGTGTATGATAACCTGTCAACTTGTAGCTTTTATTTTTACAGCTTAACTGAACAAGCTGAAGCTGGAAGTTGGTTGATTACTATGCAGAGCTGCACCTGGTTCTCTGTGCTCCAGTTTTAGTAGATTCCCACAATTTTTTTAAAAGACTTATGCAGGCCATAGATGGGGAGAAAAACGGCAGATTTTCGGCCGATTAACGAACTATCGGTCGGTCTAAAAAACTTACCTGACCACCAATTATTACGAAAATCGGCCGATTAATGAGTAACCTATAACGGGAAATGATGTCATTTTGTGACCTTTGTGATCCTTTTTCGGAAAAACGATCGTTCGTTTTTGACCATCAATGAGGATAAAGTCGGGCGTTTTTTTCGAAAATTTTCCAACATCACCGATAATCTGAAAGTCCAAAATACACGAAAAACGGCCGACAAAATCGTCCACTAACGATAAGATAATCGGCCGGTTTTATTTTTCGGACGAAAAAATCGGCCGTTTTTCTCCCCATCTATGGCCTGCATTATTCCCTGACATTCATAAAGACTGGTGCAGAAAGATTTTGTAAGCGTCTTCCACATGCTCTAAAAGTGGTGCAGACTATGCTAAATTAATGTACCTGTCTAGAATTTGGCACACATTGCACCACTTTTAAAACTCGTTTTAAAAAGTACCATGGTCTTTCTGCACGCCAAAAGAGAGTTGGTCTTAATTAGCGACAACTGTCATTATTTTATTTTGAATTTGGCACATTCAATGTCAAATCCTTTTAGAACTACCTGAATTTGGGGCACAAGTCACTGTCAGAACCAGAAGTGTTGCAGATGCTTCATGAATTTGGCACGAAACATTAAGGAGGCATTAACGCAAAAAGAGTGCTACAGCAGTTTTACTGAATCGCCCCCCCCCCCCCCATTGTTCTTTGAAATAAATGAAATGGGCAGCACAGTGGCTAAATGGTTAGCATTTCCACCTGGCAGTACTAGGGTCGCTGGCTCGAATCCCAACACACGGCACCACCTGCCTGGAGCTTGCATGTTCTCCCTGTGCTTGCGTGGGTTTCCTCAATGTTAGAATTGTGTCGATGTCCCAATATTTATGGACCTGACTGTATGAATGTAAGTTAGGGACCCTAGACTGTACGCCCCTTGAGGGTTAGGGACTGATGTGAATGTACAATATATATGTAAAAGCGCTGCGTAACTTGACGGCGCTATGTAAGTGCCTGAAATAAATAATAAATAAAATTACCTGAACTGTATCCAAAGCTAAAACTTTAATTTTCATTAACTTACCGTACAAAAGACCTGAAGTTGTAAGATCAATCTTCCACCATTGTGAAATCCTACAACTTAAATTCATTGCAAAAAAAAGTATTAGTGATTATTCTCCTCTCCTTTCTTTGCTAGACTTGAATGCAGCAGAAGATGAATTACTCAACAGTCTGTAGAACTTTCCCCCAAAAATGCGGAATTAAAGGAAATATGTGCTGAGAAAAAACTATGCAGAGTGTCATTGTTGACCTCTGTTTCTAAAATTACTAGCTGCCTGGCCGATATTCTGACTGCCTCTAAAAGAAGATTCATATGCAAATTCTCATTACCTTTGACGGCTAGACGAATGTTGTTGGAAAGTCTTCAAAATTTAATTTGCTTTTCACATCCTAGTTTGAAACAAATGGACTAGCCCCCCCCCCCAAAAAAACCAAAAAAAAAAAAAAAAAAACACATACACCATTAGCAATTTGTTTGTTCCAGGGAAATTTTCCATCTTGCTGCCTTGAATTTTCACGTCACTGCGGTCTATTTGACCCCACTAATGATTAGAAAATTGAACAAACATTCTTAAAACAAAAAATGTAAAATGAAATTCTCCTAGTGTATAGGCAGCTTTACTGCCCCATCTCTTAACCACAGCCTGCAGGCACATAACACCTCCTTCCCACTCTCCTCCTCCTATGTCTGCATTACGTCTGGTATAAGGGTCTTCAAAATAGTGGAATCATTCTGCAATCATTTCCCTTTTCTCCCTAAGTCAGGCAACATTCATCTACCACGTATTCAATGCCTTGTATTGCTGGCTGAATCAGGGAGAACAAACTTATTGGCATTGGGAGAAAACCCCCCATATCTATAGACGTAGGTTAAAACCTTGTCAAGTTTTATTATTTTTGCCATCTATGTTCCATTGAGATTTTCTCTAATTTCTGGTAAACACAATAGGAAGTAAGAGGAATGTCTCTAAAGCCTGGTACATGCTAATTTTTTTTTCTTTCAACCTGATGTTAGAACAGCGATCGATTGTGAGCAATTGTGTTATGACAAGGGGGATGCCATTGGCTGAGAGCACTGATTGGGAGTCAATCAGCAGACCTTTTTTGGTCATGCCCCTTCGACAAAAGCCAGCCGAGCCAGCTGCCATATACATGGGTCGAATGTCAGGCGGTTTCTATTGAACCGGCCGATGCCGCCCAACATTTGGCCCATGTGTGCTAGGCTTTAAACCTTTCTGTTCCCTAAACAGGTGTCCCCATTTGAATTTTGTCCCTCTATTCCTGTTCTAGCAACAACTGAACATTTTGAATTTACACTGACTTTTAGTTCCAGGGACAGTGGTCACCAGAACAAGAAGGGGACACAGACAGCAATAAAACCAGACAAGGTTCTACCCTTCCCTACTCTATTCAACACTTCTAAATCTCATAAAAAATTAGATTTAGAAGTGTGTGAATAGAGTAGGGAAGGGTAGAACCTTGTCAAGTGAAATCAAGTGAATGGAGATTTTTACATTTATGTCTCCCAGAGAAAAAAAACTTACTTGGATAGGAAGCAAAGTTTGCAAATTTGGTTCACCTAATACTGGAAACTATTTTAAAATATGCATTTCTTTCTTAACAGGTTGGTTGGTAGACACCACAGGAAACTATACAGCAGCATTCCTTTTAAGTGGATTTTCTATGATATTTTGTGCTGTTTTATTAGTTTTTGTCAAGTTAATAAAGAGGATAAAATCCAAAGGATTTATACAGTCAGTGCCAACCTCTGAAACTAAGCAAGAAATCTGCACTAATGGAGACCTATCCTGTCCAGCCACAGAGGAGCATAAAGAGGTGTAAATGAACCTTCAAAGTGTCCATCTGACAGCAATATACAGATTGGAGTCTTCAGAATGGGCTATTCTAAACTATCAGGACCTGTTTTCTTCAGGGTGGCCATACAGTACATCGGCCCATAGAAAACGCCATCTGTAATTTTGAAAGCAACAACTTTTTTTTCAGTTTTCTTCAATAAGCTGGACAAACAATGTAACTATGGCAGATGTCCTCCTTGCATACTAAATGCAGCAACCCTGCACTTTATAAGGAATTTTTTCAAGAAGTCGAAAAAACTTTTTAGATGTTGAAAAATTTTAAAAAGACTAAATATTTTATGTTTGAAATACAATGATGAACAGTCCTTTTGTGGATGCAAGACTGGATTCAATGCAATGCATTGAAGAAGATAAACTTTGAACTGTTTAGTAATGGAAACATTGATGCTGTATTTGTTTCACAATACATTTCAAGCAATAGACCTTTGCCAAAATTATGTTCAGAACCAGAACTTCTTGTGCCTTGGAGCACACTGAGTGCAGAGAAATTTAGTGGTTTGTTGTTGGTTTTGGCGAGCCGAATGAGCTTATTCAATAAGGCAAAGAGTAAGGTGCTTTAAGCAGTCATTCTGAACAGTCAATGAAACCTCTGAATTTGGTTGCTCAGGGTTGCTGTACCATCCACAGTTTTAAAGCTCTGCTTTGTTGAATAAGCCAATACATGGTTTAATCCCTGGTGGTTTAGTAATCTGGAGTTGTCAAAATCTTTAGCCAATTGTGAGTTATTTTGATGTTTGAAACATTTATACCTTTCAAGTTTTCTTAATAAATCTGATGTTGTCACAGCAATAACTTTACCTTATTACATGGTGGCTGTGTCATGTGTCCCTGGTCTTCCTACTCAGCTATCTCACCAGTATTTTACACCAGTTTTGTTGTAACCTTGGACATTCTGGGGTTGATTTGCTAAAATTTAAGCACTCAGAAGCTGGTTGGCTACCATGCACAGCTGCACCAGCTTCTAACTTTATCTGGTTCAATTAAGCTTTGGCAATAAAACCTGGAAGCTGACTAATTTCTATGCAGATTTGGCACTCTCCAGGTTTAGTAAATCAACCCCATTGTGTCTTCTTCTTTGTCACTAACCATAGAGATGATCATTGTGCCACAAAGACTCAATGGATAGATCCATTCTACAGTATGAACCTTACAGTATAGAAAGCTTCTCATAATGCTATAAAGAGGAGGCCTGATCTCAAAGAAGATTCTAAGGGGTAGATTTACTAAAACAGGTGCCCCCAGATTCTGGTGCAGATGTGCATGGTAGTCAATCAGCTTCTACTTTCAGCTTTGGCAATAAAACCTGGAAGCTGATTGGTAGCTATGCAGAGTTGCACCAGATTTGCACTCTCCCATTTTAGTAAATGACTAAGTGGCCAAGGCAGATGTCACGATCCGCCTGGCGGCATCTCTATCGGTCCACAGCACGAATTTCCTCAGGGCGCGGGGTCTAAGTCCCAATCTGCTTATTCACCAGGGCCCCTGATGGTGGGGATGGACTTGGAGCAGACTGAGACCAGGTCGCGACCCTGAGTACGTCCGACAATGGTAGAGAGCGCCGTCAGAGGAGTGCGGGGTAAGGAGTCTGCTGTGAAGAGGCTGGCAGACCTGGTAACCAGGGACGATCCCTGCGGGATGGATGGATCGTCTGGGTGGCTGGAAGCGTAGTCAGGCGGGCCAGGTCAGCAACGTGCGGGCAGCGAGGTACCGAAGGAGAAGGCAGAGAATGGTCGAGGTCACAAGCCGGGTTCAGTAACTAGCGGACAGCGCGGTACAAGGGGTCAGGCAGAAGGATGGTCAGGCAAGCCAAGGGTTAAGCAGGATACCAGCAGCAGGGTCAGGTACAATGCAGAGGTCGGCAACGGAGTAACACAAGATCAGGTATCAGGACAGAGCACAAAAGACCAAACGGCAATCTGACATACCTCTATTCCCGTTTAAATAGCCCGCCCTGCGTTGTCATTGGTGCCAGGTGCGTGTCCGCGATCCCGAGTGCGCATGCGCGGCCATCGTGATCGCCCGGGTCCCGCTGCCTGCTGATTAGAGCGCATCGGTGTCCTGCGCATCGCGGCCGGACACCGATCCCTGACAGCAGATGAGAGAAAACACAACCAACAGGAGTAGGCCTTGAGTGAGGTATAGCATCTTTGAAGCCCAGAGAAATTGTCAGGTTAAATCAGCTAAATATATTCCAGGTGCATCAAAAGACATGTTCTGCCCTATACTAGATGATAAATACTGTGTTCTTCAAAGCTTCATAAAAATGAGTCAAGAGGAGCGATTTTCCACTATTCTATATACCTTTACATTTGATTGTATATGAATTTACTCTTAAACAGGGAATCCCATCAAATACATTGTATACTTATACAAAGAACAGCTATGTCCTTACACACATTCATTTAACACAACATAACATAGTCAGACCTATTTCACCAAGGAATTTCACACACCATTCCAAGAAAAAAACTTTCCTGTCTGGTCAAGGCTTAGGCCATCAATAATTTTCATGAGATAGTTCACAGACAGCTCTGGAGAAAACAGCTTCTCTTTGGGTACATTCTTCTGGTAAGATCTTGACAAGTCTGTGTCCACTGTGCCTGGGTGAAGAGAAACACAAATCACTTTCTTACTTCCTCTCTTTAGTTCAATGGAAAGGTTTTTGGTGGCCATATTCAGAGCGGCTTTAGACATCCGGTAGCTGTACCATCCTCCTAAGCCTAAAAGAAGAGAATTGCAGAATAAATAAAAAGAAAACCCATGCTTTATAAACTGATGGAAAATTAGACTCTTGCCAACCAATATTTGCATCTAAATTGGCCACATTAAATAGTCTAAAATAAACTCAAAAGAGCAAAAAACTACTAATGTTGTAAGGGCTTGCTGCCATGAGTGCCCAGGGAACAGTAAATGCAGTTTAACCGCTTCCATACAGGGCACTTTTACCCCCTTCCTGCCCAGGCCAATTTTCAGGTTTCAGCGCTCTCACACTTTGAATGACAATTGCACGGTCATACAACATTGTACCCAAAGTAAAATTTTATCATTTTCTTCACACAACTAGAGCTTTCTTTTGGTGGTGTTTAATCACCACTGGGGTTTTTATTTTTTGCTAAGTTAACAAAAAAAGACCAAAAATTTTGAAAAAAAAAACACGCTTTTCTTTGTTTCTGTTATAAAAGTTTGCAAATAAATAATTGTTCTTCATAAATTTAGGCCAAGATGTATTCTACTCCATATCTTTGGTGAAAATAACCCAAATTAGGATGTATTATTTAGTTTGTAGGAAAGTTATAGAGTTCACAAACTATGGTATATATCTGAATATTGATCAATCCTGAAGTACTGACGGCCAATCCAATTTCTTGAGGTCCAAGAATGTCAGGAGAGTACAGATATCACTCAAATGACCGCTTTTTGCAAAGTAGACAGTCCGACGTACTTCATAAGAGTCATGGCGAGTTTTTTGAAGTTGTAATTTTTTTGTCATAATTTTTACGAAAATTAAGAAATTAAAAAAAATGATTTTCACTATTTTTTTTTACATACTGTCACCAGTGCAGTACAGCATCATCATATAACTGGCATGGCGGTGATCAGAGACACTGACTGGTGACAGTACGAAAAAAAAAAAAATTGATAATTTTTTTTTTATTTTTTATTACATTTTTTTCACTTTTTTTAAAGATTTTTTTTCAATATTTCACTATGACCAAAGTGTGTATAATGTTACCATAGTAACATTGTACTACTTTGGGGAAGGGATCAGTATTTTTTTTTTTTTTTTTTTTTACACAATTTGCTTATAGCAAAGAATTTCTTTGCTATAAGCAAGCATTTACCTGAATGAAATTGATTAATTCAGGGTTTTTTTTTTTGTGCTTTAGCTGTGATTTGGCCACAGCTAATCACATGACACAGCTGGGCTGTGATTGGCCCAGCTTGTGCATGTGATCTCTGTGACTATTCACAGCTAGACACACTTGTATACAATGGATGGCATGAAAGCCATCCATTGTATACAACTGTCATGTGACCTGCTGTGATTGGTCACAGCAGGTCACATGGTACTGGCAACGGGGCCGGTACACAGATCTGTCATCGGCCGTGTCCGAGGTACACGGCCAGTGATAGATCGTGCCGCTGCGCGGCCCTGCAAGCAGGTGCAATGCGCATGCGTGAAAAGGACGCCATATGGAGTCCACCTGGAAGACGAGCTGTTTGCCCAGCCGCCATCTGGCTATAGGCTGGGCGGCAACTTGTTAAAGCCTGGTTCACACTATTGCAGACCGTGCCGTGCGGCTCATGTTTGCTTGGGCACGGCAGCCCATTTATTTGAATAGGCTACTGTGCTGCGTGAACTGCACAAAGAAGGTGCTTGCACCATTTTAAAAATGCGGCTGCAGGGAAACCACATGGTCGTTGTGGGCTGAGATTCGCGGGAGTGCCATTCAGAATGAATGGTAGCCCTGCCTGTTTCCAAAAGCAGTGCAGTTCAGCTGCAGGTAATGCACAGTATAGGCTAGTGTGAACCTAGCCTTACTGCCCCCAACCACTCACCTGAATAGGGAGATGCAGCCTCTCAGATGTGCACACATGCCAAAAATGAAAGTAGAACTATAGGCAAAATGTTTTTTCATTTTGGATAGAGCAAGGGAGGGTCATAACTGCTGTCAATTTGTTTTTGCCATCATTTGTCCCATTTCTGAGGCTTTACTTCTTGTCCCATAGCTAAACAGGAAGTGAGAGGACATCCCTGCATATTAAGGGAATCCCTAGGGGCCCCCAAGTCACCAGAGCTAGTGCCCTCATTGCAAGATTTTCCCTCTAGATTTTGGGGAACAACCCAAATTCTGTTATTTTTTTTACTTTTACTTTCAATGATAATGATAAACAGGACAAATAGACAACAATAAAAACCTGACAGCAAGTGGACAGGTGTTCTAATCCCTCTCCACTTCATCCATAACTTAAAAAAAGTTTACCCTTTAGTTCTAATTTAAATGGCATGTTGCATTTGGCAAGCGGTACTGACATGGAACACACCCCATTCAAGTGAATAGGGCTGTGATGCAACCGCTTTGCAACCACAAGCAATGTGTGCAGTTGGGTGTGCACAATGGACCAGATCTAACACAGGGGCTCATTTACTAAAACTGGAGAGTGCAAAATCTCGTACAAATCTGCACAGAAACCAATCAGCTTCCAGGATTTATTGTCAAAGCTTAATTGAACAAGCTGAAATTAGAAGCTGATTGGCCACAATGCACAGCTGCACCATATTTTGCACTCTCCAGTTTTAGTAAATCTTCCCCACAGTCTTTAAGATTTTACCAACAAACTGGCTTGGATGCGGAGGATAGGGCATTCTCACAGACATGGGCTACTCAATGTCAGACAGCTATTATATTCAGGTGCTGTTATTGGGAACATTGTGAGATGAATTCAGATTGTGCTGTGTTTACAGAAGACAGTCTTATATTAGTAATTCTTACCATTGTCAGCTATAGAGCCCACTTTAGCGCTCATGTTTATCAAAATGGCGCTGTGCTGCTTGGACCTGTCATTTGACTGAGCTCCAAATGCCCCAGTTCCTTTCAGCAGTAGTGGTGCAAAATGTTTAGCCATCAACAGGGGACCTATGGTGTTTGTGGAAAGTGTCAACGATAGGTCCTAAAGAACAGAAAAAAAAAAAAAGTATCCTCAATAATGTACAGTATGTAATGGGAAGACACCAAGTAGAAGATTTAAGACAGCCAGACAGACACCAAGTAGAAGACTTAACAGGCTTTACAGGGCCCAGTTTGCTCCAAACCAACATGGAGACTTATTAGCAGGGAGGCCCTCCTGGCACCTGACCACTGCACCTGCACCCTTAGACTTCTTTCACAATTATACGTTTTTCTTCTGCTTTTGCGTTAAAAAAAGCAAAAGAAAAACGTGTGACCATGTATTCCTATGGAAAACACACATCCCCATTGAAATCAATGGAAAAAGGGGCAAAAACGTACCCGCTTTTTTTTAGTGCATTTTTTAAAATCACATATCCTGTGAAAAAAAGTACCACAAACGTGGTAAAAACATGGCAAAAACGTGACAAAAACTGCGGATCAGTGTGAAAGTAGCCTTAGAGTCTAAGCTTAGGAGAAAATCTTTTTAAAAATTAGCACAAGTGTCATTACTTACATTAAGTGCTCCTTGTGCTGGTGCTGGCTGTAATAGTGGAAATCTGAAGTCCTCTGCCCACCACCTATACCTGTAGCCATAATCTTCCGGTGCTGCAGGGGTTAATACCTGGACCCGTGACAGGCACTCTTCAAGAGTACCAGCAATGGCTGCCCTTTCTGCCTACCTCTTCCATTCACAGAAACTGTTCATGAATGGAAATCAATATATGATCTGATTTTCACTATTACAACCTCCACCAGCACAAGGGACACAGCTTTAAAGAGTAACTCCACGTTTGTTAAAAAAAAAAAAAAAATTCCCCTCTGGGAGATTTATTTGCATTGCAAGGATTTTAATAAATTTTTTTGCAGGTTCCCACCTTTTCTTATTCTGAAGAAATATCTGTTTGTCTGTGTCCATGTGCACAATGAATCTGTCTGTATTTCATAATTATCAATCAGCTGCTGCACCTGCAGGGAGCTAATGTGGAAAGTTGCAGGATCTGTATTCCTTTAATGCAGGCCATAGATGGGTCGAAAATCGGCCCATTTTTACGTCCGAAAATAAAATCGCCCAATTTTCGGATCGTTAGTGGGTTAATAGGTCGGCCGTTTTTCGGTATTTTGGCAGATTTTTTTTGTCGGTAAAGTTTGAAAAAAAATCGGCCGATTTTGCTGATCAGCCGATTTTCGTGGCAATGATGGGCAAATTGGCCGATCTTTTTACAGATAAAAAATCTGCACATGAGCAGTGACCTGCAAGAAGAAGACAAAAAGAAGAAGAAAAAGAAGAGGATGAAGAAGAAGAAGAAGAGGATGAAGAAGAAGAAGAGGATGAAGAAGAAGAAGAAGAATTCCAGTCCGGCAAAAAGTGTCCCTGCAGAGAGCTCCGCTATTTCTTTGACAGTTCTTTGACATTTATAGCGGCTGCAACAATGTATCTATTTGTTTCCGAATAAAAAACATCTGTATCCGAAATGGATACAAATAGATACAATGTTGCAGCCGCTATAAATGTCAAAAAACTGTCAAAGAACTTGCAGAGCTCTCTGCAGAGACACTTTTTGCCGGCTGTAGACGGGATGAAAATCGTCCGATTTTTTTTACCGTTCCTGGTAATGTCGGCCGATTGAATGACCGATTTTTGTTTTTTTTTAAAGAAAAATCGATCGGTTTTCTCCCCATCTATGGCCTGCATAAGCCGGCCATACACGGGTCGAATTCCGAAAGAATTTTCTTTCGGAAATCTTTTCTAGGAATTTTCGTTCGAATTTTGCACCATTTTTGGGCTACAGCAATGGCCAATTTTCGAGTGACCATCAAATTTTAGTGATCAGGCATGTTTCTAATCAATGATGGGAGAATCGTGTGAGAAATGTAATTGAAAAAAAAAAACTAGCATGAGCTGTGACCAGGAAAGAAAAGAAAATTCTTTTCTGTAGCAACAGTGAAATTAAAGGCTTGGTTGGTCAAATTTTCAAAATCAATGGTGGCACCATCGGATTACAAAATGCATAAAATTTCTGATTTTCTAAAGAAAATTTGTTCAGAATTTAACCCATGTATGGCCTGCATTAGATGTGATTTCCCTTTGGGAGTATTACACCAAAAATGACATTTTTATTGTAGGGGATGCCCAAAAACGTTTGTTATATAGTACAATGACGGGCACAAGGTGGTTCTCTCGTTCTGGGAGGACATCACATGACGTCCTTCCATTCCAACCACAATTGTGCAGCTACGGGAGCGCGCAGCGCGGCAATAGGTGGCGCACTGTGTCCCTTGGACACAGCGGATCACCGATCAATGGAAAGAGCCGAAGATGTCGGCTCAGTCATGTGATCAGCTGTGTCCAAGTTATCGGCATTTCTCTCCTCACAAGCTGTCACACTGACAGCTCGAGAGGAGAGCCGGTAATCGTCTTTCTGCGGAGGGCACATGTACACTGATCATTAGAGCACTGATGATCAGTGTGCCCTGATGATCAGTGTGACCCCAGCAGTGCCACCTGTCAGTGTCCATCAGTGTCAGCAGTCAGTGCTCATCCATGCCACCTGCCAGTGCCCATCAGTGCCACATCAGTGCCACATTTCAGTGCCTACCAGTGCACATCAATGCCACATATCAGTGCTCACCTGAGTTGCCTTTCAGTGTCACCCATCAATGCCAGTCAGTGCCGCCTATCAGTGCTGCCAGTCAGTGCCGCCTATCAGTGCTGCCAGTCAGTGCTGCCTATCAGTGTGCATCAATGCCGCTATCAGTGCCCATCAGTGCCGCCTATCAGTGCTGCCTAACAGTGCCAGTTAGTGCCACCTATCAGTGCCTAACAGTGACAGTTAGTGCCGCCTATCAGTGCTAGTCAGTGCCACCTATCAGTGCTGCCTTTCAGTGCCCAGTGATGCCTGTCAATGCCCATCAGTGCCACCTACCAGTGCCTCCTCATCAGTGCCCACCAGTACCACCTATCAGTGTTCATGAGTGCAGCCTATCAGTGCCCATCACTACAGCCTCATTAGCGTACATCAGTGAAGGAGAAAAATCACTTATTTACAAAATTGTATAACAAAAACTTTTTTTTTCAAAATTTTCAGTGGTTTTTGGTTTGTTTAAGAAAAAATAAAAAACCCAGAGGTGATTAAATACCACCATAATAAAGCTCTATCTGTCACAAAAAAATGATAAAAATATCATATGGGTACAGTGTTTCATGACCACGCAATTGTCATTCAAAGTGTGACAGCACTGAAAGCTGGAAATTGGCCTGGGCAGGAAGGGGGTATAAGTGCCCTGTAGGCTAGTGGTTAAAGAAAACTAAAGTGTTAAAGCTAATTCCAGGGATGATCTCTCCAGCGGCCCCTCTGGACTAATACAAGTACCCAATAAAGTACATTCCTGGAGTTCAGCTTTAAAGAGTAACTCCATTTTTGTTAAGAAAAAAAAAACAATCCCCTCTGTCCGATCAATGTACCTCATAGGACCCCTTAAGCCAGCCATAGATGGTTTGAATCTCGGCCGGTTCATAAGGGACTGGTTAAGATTTGAACAATCTATGGGCAGGCTGATTGTTACCATTTCATTTGTTCAATTAATTTGTTCTAATTCTTGCATACAACCAGCCTGCTAGATTTTTCATGCAATTATTGCCAGCGACTATAGCCGCTAATAGTAACCACTGTGTTCGGAAAATCGGTGGATGGCATGCCACCCACTGGGAGAACACAATGGCTCTGTGGGAGGGATTCCCCCATCAACACTGTGTGAACTGTGGTTGCAGGAAAGAAAATCGCATCATCTATGGCCGGCTCTAAAGGGGTCCCTCCCTAACCCAAGCCCCTGCATGGGCTGCTATGGCTAGTGTTTCACCACTGTTTATATTACACACCATGCATGATGCTGCATTATACTGGTAAGTAGCTGTGAGCATGGGTTTTGTCCTAAGCTGTCACTCCCGTCAAACCAGCATTCAATCAGCCACAGCCAGGACATTCTCTTCCTCAAAGCTGCACATAACAAAGGGCTGGGGATGCATATGACATGATTAGAAAGGAAAAAGAAGGCGCTTCTGAGTGTAGACTGTCATGTCGTTTACTAAAACAAAGTTAACATGCACTCACATGGATAAGTCATAATAAGGTAAGTCCATGTACCCGTGAATTGTCCTCCACTGCTGCGTTGTATAGCGTTGCCCTTCTGGCTCCCTAGCTAGCTGGATGATGAGGGGGAACCAAAGCGAGGCTGGAACGCAGTTGGAGCACAAGTGGACTGTGGATCTTGGCGTGGTGACATCACCAGATATGACGCAACGCGTTTCGGAGCATGTGCAGAACAACTTGCATTGGGTGCGCTCCTTTCTCAAGCTCCAGACAGTGTCCGTTTGCCACAGTGATCTTGTAATCGGATAGACTGGATGATCACCGGGTTTACTACCTTTCCAATATACAATCACAATCCACTCATCAGTTTGCACCGGGATTATATCCTTTATGTGACATGATTAACCTAACATGGTCCATTGGCCACATGCGAATGACTTAGTTGAAAAAATGTGTCCATGTGGCCAAAATTAGTTCAATGATATCTCGAGCATCCCTTCCCCTTTGATATTTCGGCTATGGGGTGGGGAATGCCCTGGGGAATGCCCTGGCCATGGCTGATTTGGCACTGATTTGGTGGAAATGACAACTTCCTCCCTAAAATAAGTTCACCGTTATTTCATGTTACACCTCAGGTATGGGTGTAACATGAAACATGTACAGGACTTCCCCACCCCATGGCATTGGGTGGGGATTCCTCTTCCCTCGCAGCCGCTGTCACATTTTAAAATCAGAGTGGCGGTTTGGGACAGCCGTGTCATTCATTTACATGGATCTGTGAATGAAGAAACCACAAATCCTGTCTGCCACCGTGGCAAATGGCTTGTACTTCTCGATGAACTATGGGTGTACTCACCAGACACTTCCTCCAACTTTCTGACAAAAAGCCTCTAGAGAGATATAGGCAAGAAAGCAGACGTGTCTACAGGAGCCTGACATTGCCCCTGCAATCCACTGATTACGGGTGCATTGCTTTACAGGCTCCTGTAGGAAAAAATATGCACTTTTTTGTACTGCAAAAATACGTGCAATTATTTATTTATTTTTCTAACAGTGAACTTATCCTTTAACCAGTTACCTGCCGTCCTATAGCAGAAGTACTGCTACAGGGCGGCAGGGCTGCGCTAAATCATGTACATATATATGGGATTTGCATCTCCGGGTAGGGGGGTGCGCGCGTGCACCGCCCTACCTGTGCCGCTGTTGGGGGCTAGGGCTGTCAATCACTGGGTCCCGGTCGAAGATTCCCCTTCAGCATCTGTTGATCTTCAAGCAAAGCTGACGGGGGAGAGACCTGTGAGTAAACAACACAAGTCTCTCTTCTGCCAGCAAAGATATGCTGCTTTGTATTTCTCTGCACAGCAGAGAAATACAAAGCAGCATGTCTCCCTAGTAAAACACAGCACATGATGTAAAACAGCACACAGTTAACCCTTTGATCACCCCAGATGTTAACCCTTTCCTGCCTAGTGTCATTAGTACAGTGTCAGTGCTTTATATTAGCACTGATCACTGTATTAGTGTCACTGGGGATGTCAGTAGCAGTTAGTCAGTTCCCACCCAGTGTCAGAATGCCCGCCGCACTCCTGCTATAAGTTGATTGTCGCCTATACTATGAAAAAAAAATCCAGTATATATACCGCCATTTGTAGAAGCTATAGCTTCACATAAACCAATTAATTTACACATATTGGCCTCGGCCTCAGAGATTCTGCTCTCTCCTGGCTCTCATCCTACCTGTCACAACGCTCTTTCAGCGTTACCTATAATGCTACCACCTCCCCCTCACTCCCCCTCTCTGTTGGGGTCCCTCACGGCTCTGTCCTCAGGCCCCTTCTCTTCTCCATCTATATCTCCTCCCTTGGCCAACTCATACACTTTCATGGCTTCAACTACCATCTATATGCTGACGACACACAAATCTATCTCTCAACCCCCCTCCTCCTGTGCCACCATCTAGATTGTAAGCTCGAAAGAGCAGGGCCCTCGATCCCCTCATGTTTTGCATTGTATTGTTATTGTTCTGTCACATGTTCTGTCCCCCTTTGTAATGTACAGCGCTGAGTGAACTATTGGCGCTTTATAAATACTGTATAATAATATTTTTTTAGCAAAGACATGTCGCAGAATACATTTTGCCCTAAATTTATGAAGAAATTAGATTTTTTACTAGATACATTTTATAGCAAACAGTAAAAAATATTGTTTTTTTTTCCCAAAATTGTTGATCTTTTTATGTTTATAGCGCAACAAATAAAAAAACACAGAAGCGATCAAATACCACCGAAAGAAGGTGCTACTTGTGGGGAAAAAAAAGGACGTAAATTTCATTTATGTACAGCATTGCATGACCGCGCAATTAACGCAGTGCTGTAACGCAAAAAATGATCAGGAAGGGGGGTACATCCTCTTGAAGGCAGGTGACTACGTTTGCAGCAAACCTGTGCTCATCCAGACACTCTCACCTCTGCAGAGACTTCTCTAAGGCTTGTCTCTCCTCTGCCACTAGGGTGCAGCAATGCGGAGGAATTGATGAGTAGGTCCAGGCTATGGAAAGTCAGCGCCACCTGCTGGGCACATTGCTGTATGGCGCCCTGGCTGAGTACATCCAGTCTCACAATGGTCAGTAGATGGGGGTGGAGCCGCTTCAGTACATGCAAACCATCCGCGGACTGCGGCTCCCTGCACGTAGCAATGACATGGCGGCACTTGTTGGACTGGACTAGGAACTTGCAGAACTGGAGGCCGACACCCCGACTTGCTCCCTGAACCAGAGCGACTCCTCCGGACATCTTCCCGGCACAGCCTGCGATTACCGCACAGCGACACGGCTTTACATAATACACAGGACGATGCTGCCACCTACTGGAACCTACTGGAACCTACCTCCGCCTGCAGCCGAGTAATCAGTGGACAGATATTCATGAAAAATCAAATGATGAAATAAAATACACAAATATTCATTTATTGAGCGTTTACTAACCACCTAAGGACCAGGGCCTTTTTCTGGCACTTTTTGTTCAAATGTAGCAATCATTTTTTTGCTAGAAAGTTACTTAGAACCCCCAAACATTATATATATTTATTTTAAAGCAGAGGCCCTGGAAAATTGGTGGGTTTTGCAATTTTTTATGTCACACAGTATTTGCGCAGCAGTTTTTCTAATATAATTTTTTAGGGAAAAAAAAATAAAAAAAAAAATTTAATGCAAAAAAACAAAATGCATAACCCAAAATATTTTGGTAAGATATAAAAGATGATGTTGCACAGAAAATAGATACCAAACATGTCATGCTTTAACCGCCTCCTGCCCGCCATAAAAGGAAATGACAGGAGGGCGGTGGCTCTCTTCTGGCTCCTGTCTGTTGGGTGCCCCCACAGCAAGCAGCTTGCTATGGGGGCACCCACTGTTCCATGTGTCCATTCACAAACGGAACCATGGCTTGGCCCCACCCTCTCGCTCTCCTCATTGGCTGACTGGCTGTGATTGACAGCAGCGGGAGCCAATGGCCAATGAGGAGGCAGAGACCCATCACAGCTGAGGCTGTCATTCACATCACTGGATCACGATGAGGCTCAGGTAAGTATTGCGAGGGCTGGGGGCACTGCTGCACACAGGTTTTTTACCTTCATGCATAGAATGCATGAAGGTAAAAAATCTTCAGCCTTCACAACCACTTTACACCCCGGTCACATCAAACCCGACTTTGAAATCGCGTGACTTACAGTGAAGTCGCACGATTTAAAAGTCGGGTGAACTCCCGATTTCATGTGCGATTTGCAAGACATCTGACACAGACGTCTTTGTAAATCGCACCAAAAGCAGTGCATGTACTACTTCAGAAATCGGTGCGGCTCCGACCAAGTCGGAACTGCACCAATATGACTGCTGTAATTGCGGACAATAGGGTGCCACTTGGCATGCAATTTGCAAGTTGCATAGCATGCAAATTGCATGCCAATTAACATCCAGGGTGACCGGGGTGTTAAGGCTGGATTTCTACAAAAAAAAAAGTGTGTTCATCCATAAGGATCCATACCATGCCCTTAATCTGAGCATGCAGCCTGGCTTTGGTTGTGGGGGTTTGTTAACATATCTTTAACAATAAGGGGGGCCCAGATTCCACCCACCATACATGAATGACTATGGGGTACATAGTACCCCTCCTGACATGCTGGCTGTACCCAAGTCATACAATAATTAACTTGGGTACAGTTAGCCTGTCCATAAATGGTTTGAATCCTGGCTAGTCCCTGCTGAACCGGCTGGGATTTGAACCGTCTATGGCCAGCCTAATTGTTACTGCTATTCAGAATTGTGTGATTATAGGGGATCGATCATTCTTTCATGCTACTGAAAATCTCTTATGTAGCAGCTTACAGTACATTAGAAGGTAACAAGAGACAGACAAAAAATTTACTGATGAGATTTAAAAACAGGATTGAGTTTCCAAAATCTTCCATGTGACTCAAAGGTAAGGAGTCAGAACACTAGCTATGGAAACTGTACTCCGAAAATCAAAAGGGGCTCTGTTACTTCAGGGTCACCTCATATGTACTAACAAAGAACAATACACATGTGTGGGGTGATATTGTCCAAAGATAAAGCATCATCATTTATTTTGGTGTGAATTTGTGTAATTAAACTCTTAAGATAAAAAAATCAAAGAAAACAGATGTTGAAACATTTTTTCTTTTAATTATTTTACATAATACGTATACTGTACCATAATACAGAGTAGAAAGAAAAGTTGATACATAATTTTAATTCATAATTAAAATTATTATGATTATCATTATTAAAATACAGGCTGTATAAAAATGAAATAGTGTATAGTGTGTGTAGATGTCTGATGTTATAAATGTAGTGTGTTCAGCAGAGTTATTGGTGATTGCAGTGTAGACGCTGATCATATGTGCGCAGGGCTTTACCCTAGGTTCACACCTATGCGGCCGTGCATGCCGCATTTTGTGCAGGCGCGAGAGCCCATTCATTTGAATGGACTCCTGTGCCCATGACACGCAGGGAAAGAAGTCCCTGCACTTCTTTGGAAAACGCAGCCCACACTGGAACCTCGGTTACCAGTACGGTTGTGTTTCCCAGTGCGGGCGGCGTGCCATTAGAACTAATGCCCGCGGGTCCGCAATTCTCTGTGGGGGTGGTGCGGCTGCACAGATTTTTATGTGGATCTGCAGCGGCACCACCCGCATAGATGTGAACCGGGGGTAAATGTACATACACTGTGCAAAGAGAGTTATGCGTGCTTTTTTTAAGTCCAAAATGTATCTGCATACATGTGTTTCATAAGCCATCAAAATGCTAGGCATCTTGTCTAGGTATTTCTCTGGAAAATAACCATAAACAAAAAAATGATATTAATCTCTTCACGCTGACAGTACGCAGATATGCGGCCCTTTGGCGGTTGGGCCCTAACGCTGAAAGGCTGCATATATGCGTACCAGAATGTAAACACAGCTGTACTGAGTGCTCGCGCCCTGCGCACTCCCAGCGCAGTTTCGGAAAGCTCCAGATCTCTACTTGCGATCAGGAGCTTTCCGATCATGTGACTGCTGTGACAGCCAATAATGGCGGTCACATGATCAGAAATCTTGCCCCGCCTCCCATCATCAGAAACCCCTTAAAGGGCCGGGAGGCGTCAGCATTAAGGGGGTAACCCTATGTTATCACAAGGAAGACAAATATGTTCACAGAAAAGCTGTGTTATTTTGTGTTAACACTCAAAGCAGTTCAAAAGTAACAAGCAATTGAATCTACATACTGTACAACTTGCTCTGGTCAGGAAGGTATGAAATCATCCCAGGCATGGAGGGGTTAAGCTGGCCGGCTTTTAGATCATCAGCCACATTACATAATGATCTGACTGTAATTGGACAGTTCAATCTGTACCAAGAAATAGGGGGGGTTTAGCTGCCTAGGTCGCAACGTTTTTATGTGGGGGATTCAGAGTGATCATCACTGACTCACACAGCTGTTACTATCTAAACTATTAACTTCTAGCCCTGGGCTGGCACCCCAAAAGCAGAGGGGGACAGGGAACCCTGTAGAGGGGCAGCAATTTGCTGGGATATCAGAATGAATCTGCATTACTGTTAGGTACAGTAGAGTGATCTCCGCCTGAAAGTAGAAGTATAGTCCCGGCTTGCCCATATTGTATGGTGCCATGAGGGAATAAGAAGTAGACATGAGCAATTTGTTTAATTATGAATCAAAATTTGGACGAAGTTTTAGTTACTTGGAGAGTCAGATGTATCCGAATTTCTGAATCACAAAGTAACGAATTTCAATTATGAACTAAATTATAATGAAACCAAATCGTCGAATTTGAATTTGAAAAGAATTTGAATTCAAAATGGAAACATATTGTAATAAATACAGTAAGCTAAAAAAGTGAAATATGGTGATTCCTACTTAGGCTGCTTCATAGAATAGAACAGAATAGAAAAGAATATTATAGAATAGAATAAAACAAAATAGAATAGATTAGAATAGAAAATATAAGAATAGAATAGAACATAAAATAATAGAAAATAACAACATTTTAAATAAAATAATAGAATTGAAAAGAGTAGAGTAAAATAGAACAGAATAGAAAAAAATAGAATAGATTAGATTAGAATAGAATAAAATAGAACAAATATAGCCGCCTTCTGAAATTTGAATTCCGAATCAATTTGAAAATAACGAATATATGATACAGATCCGACTATACGAAACAAATTCGTAACAAATCATTCTAGCATAACGAATATGACTAAATTATTAACTTAACATAGGAATCTGAGAGCATCTGTAGAGAGCAGTACACTGCGAGAGCAGGTTTGCAGGTAATTAAATAAGCACTGTTGATAGCCAGGCCTTTATTTTACTTTAAATGCCTCATGGTGTGCAGCCAGTGCCCTTTACATGATGGAGTCAAAAAATGAATCTGTCCTGTGGATGCTGCTGATTAAATAGGCCATTTGTACCATCAATGCATGGGGGATGCTAAAATTAACACTGCCATTGACTGACCACTAATTTCTGTGTATGGGAGGAGTCAAAAGCTCTGTTGCTGACTACCAGTGCAGGAAGGAAGGGGTTCATTCACAGCAGCAGTGAGTGTGTGTGCGTGTGTTATCAGCACTGCCACTGACCACAGATGTGAGGTAGAGGAAATTCCCTCCTAGACATCTGAGATAAGGTGCCTGATCTGCATATATTATTTGATAGCTTCCAGAGCAACCTGGGAACTTAAACATAAGTAACACTGCTATATGGTATTTTTTTTATAAAATAATTTTCATAAGAAATTCAGCAATGGAAGTTCATATATTTTTTTCAGTAATGGTTTCCATTATATAAAATATATTAGTCTGCCATCTTCCAACAATACGGTCATGTTTCCTTTCCACAAATGCAGGCCTCATTGCAATGCCAATATACATTGGATTAAAAGGGTCAACCAAGCTGAAATAAAATATGAATGTCTGATCTGTTCATGTAAGCAACATTGCCATTGAAAGTAAGATCTTCATTCTTCTGTTGTTCACTTTAGCTGTTCAGACCTTTCAGATCAACATTGACAACATAATTGTCATTATGCAATTTGTTATTCCTCATTGTCTGAATTATGTTCAAACGGAGCACCGTTTATGGCGGAATTTTGTACATTAACATCTTGTTCATGAATGAAGTCCAACAAATCAATCCCATTGTCATCAAACTGATTTTTGCTGAGAATTTCTTTAGCAAGACTCTTGCACTGGTTTAAAGCATAACCTCTGAATATTG